TAAAAAAATAAAAATAAACAAATCACTTATTTTCACTATGATGTACTAATCTAATCCAATTAAAATTTTTTTAAAATCTAAATCTAATCTAAAAATCATCTAAATAATAAAAAAAAATTAAAAATAAATAGATTAGTATCTAAAATAAAAAAATAAGGTAAAATAATAAAAAATCATCACTTGTTTTCACTATAATATACTACTTGATTAAAATATTAGAATTTGAATTCAGATTGATCTAATCTAAAATTATCTAAAAAAAAAATAAGTAAAATTAGTAATTTTTAATAAAAAAAATAAGATTAGATAATAAAAATCACCAATCACTACTTGTCAAAATAGTCTATTTCAGCTAAATTTTAATTAACTGATTTTAAGCTAAATTATACTTATTTTTTTTTACTGAAATATAAGATTTGAACTTAAAGAAGAAAAAAATATAAGATAAATAAAAAGTAAATGCAATAAACTTTAAAAATTATTATTATCTTTATTTTCTCATAAAATATACTTTGAATTTATAGAAAAAAAGAAAAGGTAAATTAAATAAAGATATAATGAAAGATAATGCAAAGTAAATAAAAAACTTATATTAATCTTTATTTTCTGTAATATAGACTTAGAACTTAAGTTAAATAAAGAAATGATAAAAGATTATATAAATAAATAAAAAATATTATTTTTATTTTTTATAATACAAATTCTGAATCAAAAAAAGGAAAAATATTAAAGTTAGATAAAAGTTAATGCAAAAAAAAAATAAACAAAGAAAAGGCATAAATTTTAGATCTAAAAAGTTTAAATTTTAAATTTTGATAATAAGAAAGTGATTTAGTAAAAGATAATTTCTAATTTGAAGTTCAATTTCAAATATTCTAATTTTAAACAGCTTTGTATCTGATATTCAGATTCTATTTGAAGTTCAATTTTATATATTTCAATTTCAAATAGCCTTATATCTGAAATTCAGATTCAACTTAAAGTTTAATTTTAGATTTGCTTATTTCAGATAGTCTTGTATCTGAGATTAGAATTTAATACAGTTATATAGAAATTTGCTAATAAAATTATAATTAAAATTGAAATTTAAATAAAAAAAATATTTTTGAAATGAAATTCCAATTTTTTGTTAACTGATCTTTGAATTCCAATTTCAGATACTTAAAAGATCATTTAAATTCCAATTTCAGATAAAAATCAATTTCAGTTACAATATTTAATAGAACTATTTTTTATTTATAAAAATCTTTTTTAAATTTTTTTTTAATTAAGAAAATTCAAAGTAAAAAAGAAAAATTAAATGGAACAATTCCAACTTATTTTTAAGAATTTTTAAACTAGTGAAAAATTGAAATATTTAAAGTATTTTAAATTAATGACTAATTACTAATGATAATCTGCTTTTTATTGTTTCTTTAGTTTCTTTCACCTTAGTTCTTGCATCATTTTAGAAACAGTAATGATCATTTCATTATATTTTGAAAATAAAATACTTTAATAGTCAGTTCATTGTATTATACCTTAATTATTTTTGAAAACTTGTCTATTGATAATAAATTATTTTGACTGATATACTATTTTGATATTAAAAATTAATTTAAAAATAAAACGATTTAATTTTTGAATTATGAAAAATTGAAGTTTATATACTGCATCATTTTATATCAGTTGTTTGCTATTAGAAGACTTATTTTTGATATCAAATATCAAAAAAATAAATTAAATTATTATTCACATTATCATTCATAAATCCCATTAATAGTGTAAGCAGCTAAAAAGGCTTTAAATCCTTTAATGTATTAAAAATGCCGAAGGTATTATTTTCAGTATGTAAGTGTTATAAAAAGATTTTTTTTAAAAAAAAAAATACATAAAGTAAAATCAATAAGATTCTTTCAAAAATTTAAAATGTATTAAATCTGTAATAAATACTATAGTTACAGAAATGATTTGCCATAAATTAGATACTTTAATAATTCTGAAACCAAATTATTTAGTAAGAACATCACATTAGTGAAATTGCAAAAGCTTTATTCGAAATTCAAATGATGTCTACAGCGGAAATATATATTTCGAATTTCCGAGTCTTAAAGTAAATATTGTATATTGTATGATAGGATACCAGGATGTTCTAATTAATTTTATTTCCGAATTATTAATTTCGTAGTTTTAGCGTTTACAAAGGTGTAGAGCGCCGATGTTGAAGAAATACTGATTATTAAATAAATTTTACATCATTATTTGTTTAATTGCTTATTAATAAAAAAATTATAAAAAAAATTGAATAAATTTATTAATCAGAGTTACCTCAACGACGGCGCTCGACACTTTCGCAATGTCAATTTATTAACTCAATAAAATTCTAATCACTAAAAATGCTATAATTAAAATTACACAAAATAAAAAATCTTTAAAATTAACGATATTACAATGTAATTGATGAGGTTAAATGATGAAAGCGATAATATCGCAAAGGAAGAAAGGAAGGATTTAAGATGTATGCATGCAAAGGAAGGGGAAGCGAATATATGAACAATGGTTTTTTTAAGAACTCCAAATTTCAGCATAAATATATTAAAGTTTAAGATAATGTTACACAAATATTGTGACAATAAAATGCGTTCGAAAAAAAAAATTCCTAAAAAAGTAATCAAATTTTCCAAAATTTTAATAAAGCATAGATTAGCGGGATTAAATTTTCATATAAAAATAAAATCCGGTTTACCTCATCTGGAAAAATTAATTGAAAGAATGTTCTTTATATTTATATTTATATTTATAAATTTATAAATTTATAAATTTATATGTACTCCATGAAATCTATCAAAGCTTATAATATTAAGATAAAGAAAAAACTAATCGGAAATAAAAATATATTGAATAACTGCAAAGGAATTAATTCATTTATTATGATGTTATTTAACTTTGTGGTAAGTATTTTTCAGCTTTCTATATGTTTTTTTTATAAATCTGTTTTGAATTTTTTCTAACAGTTGTTGGACGAAAAAAATTTGATCGGTAGTTAACAAGGTCATCACGATATTAAGATTCTTTTTAAGTCCTCTTTCCTACTCTTTATATTTCATTTTTATTATGATTTAAATTGTAAATATGAGATCATAATTATTTCTTGTCAAAGTGAAATAAATATTACATAATTTATAATTTGAATGATTTTTAAATGTTTATAAGAATCGACAAGGTTTAAATATTTTTAATATGATAGTATTATGATGTAATTTTTGTTTAACTAAATCTAAAAGTATTGCGTCTTATCTCCTCTACTAATGCTTAATTAATTAAAACTATCCTTCTATTGGAAATATTGGAAAGAAGCATTATTTTTCGATTATTATTAATATTAGTTTTGTTATACTAATACATCCTAGATCTAAAAGTTATTATATCATGTATTTTTGAGGAAAAGGAAATTTTTTTGTCGCTCAAGGGCCCAGAAATCCGGTTACACTAATAAATTTTTTTTTTTACCATAATAGTATGTTAATTAAATGTCAATGATCTCATTAAGTAATCATCGGATATTTCACTGGTATTAAAATATCAATATAAAAAATCACAGGCGACCATTAGTAACCATGAGATAATTGACAATGCCATTGGATAGTGACTACAGTGATGAAGACGACTATCCAAAAATTCAGAAAACAATTTCTGATTCAAGTTCTTTGCCTTTGGTATTGGAAGTTGGTGTAACATTTTTTACTTAGAAGTCTGCTTTGACTACATTAAACAATGGTCACTCCAACGGTTTTTTTATTCAAATAGGAAAGATCAGAAAAATTGCAAGTGAACGTAACAATTTATATGTAGTTGTCAAGGAATACATACTAATAAACGAGGAAAAATCAAACCAGACCTTCGCAAACGGCATATTAACCTTTTTTGCCCAGTGAAAAATAATCCATATAAAACTATTTTCATTACTACGCTAATTAATGAGCATTTTGGATCCTACTTTATGTAAATAATTATTTTTTATAAATACGAGCTAGAAATCCTTAAACAGCTCAAACATACCACGCACCCTCCTTCATGTAATTGCATACATACGCCTTAAATACCTTCCTTTATCCATTCGCGATATTTTCGCTTTCGCCGTTTTAACATTATAATTTTTAAACTGTAACTTCGTTTATATTTAACTTCCGAATTTCTTATTATTTATTACTCAATTTTTATTATTGCTTGGTTTTAATTAGAGTTCTATTGATCGGCATTTATTTAGTTTTAAATATTGATATTGCGAAAGTGTAGAGCGCCGACGTTGAGGCAACACTGATTAATTTGATATTATTAAATAAATTTAGCGCCAACATTACTTCATTATTACTCAATATAAACCTACTGCTTATATTTAAAAGTACATAAACGAAAGAACTGAAAATAACAATATGAAATATCTCTCTATTATTGTAACAGTTGATAATTATATGAAGTATGGAATTGTAGAACAAGCATTAATAGATCGAGATACAAATGAATTCTTAAATGTATATTGGATGCTACAAGAGTTTCTCTAAAAGTTTTCATAACAGTTGCCGATCCTGAAATGGACCTTCAACATTGTATTTGGCATATTAGTCAAAACCTCCCTTTTACGCCTAAAATCAAAGCTTGGTGGATCATTTGAACAATTTAAAAAGGATTTTTATGAATGCCGTAATATTTTATATCAGTAATGCGATTCCAAGATCATATGGGAGTGCTTTCTTCGGCAAAAAAGTAAGAACTAGATGATAGGATTTCTAAGCATTCTAATACAGATTACATTGAAGAGGGTTTCATCCTAGTAGTTAGAATTTTTTATTAATTCACTGGCATTAGCATAGAAACTTCATCATGTATCACAGGCTATGTCCTGATCCTTTATACTGTATTTTGCGTGTTTCATCACGCTAAATAACAATAAAATTTTTTTTTTTTTCACATGATGTGAGTCCCGCCTATTCACTTTGTTCATTGTCAGTTAAAATTATCAGAAGTCATGCGAATATCAGGTAAACTTAAGATCTTTGGTTGAGGGTGGATTTATTCTCGAACTTTCCTGCAGATACAAGGTTTTTTTTTTTACATATAAAAAGACCCCTTATTGATATTACACATGGGTAGCATCAATGTTATTTATTATATTTTTAAGCGGATCCGCTGATCAGATTTTCGTGATCGATCATATTAACATAATTCTCTCCAAAAACGTATTCAAATTCCAAAATTATCCTGAAAGTTACATAAAAAGGTGAGCCTTGGTTAGTGAATCCTTTTATTGCTTTGTGCAAATAAAGCAAAGTCAAATGAAATATTCAAACTTACCAATATTAACTTTATCGATATTAACAACCAAACGAACTCGTATGTTCCGCAAAAGTAATAATAGGTAAGATGGTTTATTGCTCAGCTTGATTCTAGATTCACACCATCACGATGATAATCGATTTTCCCGTCTTTATAGATGTTACAAAATAAAATAGATTACTCTTAGTCAAGAAAATTATGATTGTCAACACGTGTCTGATCAGCGCAGTAAGCCTCGGGCATTTGAAAAAATTTTTTAGCGTACAGGAATTGTGAATATGTAGTAAATTTAACGCGCATGTGACTAATATTTCAGCATATTAAACATCGTGATTTATTGTCTATGAGCCTGTGGCGTATTATGGATTGTCCGATACGTTGTGCAACAATTGACTTCTAATATAAACCTCCTCTTTCCTGAATTGCACATTGTGATATGTTATTTAGCATGTCGGAAGAAACATTAGCACATGTTTGCTTGAAGAGGGATTAGATGGTCCCGCTCTTCTTATGTTGAACGAGAAAAGCTTAAAGAATGTGGTTTTAAAGTAGGAAATCGCAAATTTGATTGTGAAACTTAACGGTGAAGTGCAGGGTAAATATACGACTGCATTCTAATCTCCCAAGCATTTATTTTTCTTTGTCTTAATCTGTGTCTTACCACCATCATAATCAGCGTCGTTACCTTAAGATGAGTTACAGTGACTTCCATAATTATTGTACCACTTCATTTTTAATTTTTAGATCGTGATACCTAAATAATTATGTGACTAT